AGCAAGTTTGCTGATGACACCAAGCTGTGTGGTGCAGTCAGCACGCTGGAGGGAAGGGATGCCATCCAGATGGACCTTGACAGGCTTGAGAGATGGGCCTGTGCCAACCTCATGAAGTTCGACGAGGCCAAGTGCAAGGTCCTGCATCTGGGTTGGGGCAATCGCAAGCACAAATACAGGCTGGGTGAAGCATGGATTGAGAGCAGCCCTGAGGAGAAGGACTTGGGGGTGCTGGTTGATCAGTAGCTCAACATGATCCAGCAATGTGCGTTTGCAGCCGAGAAAGCCAACCGTATCCTGGGCTGCATCGCAAGAAGTGTGACCAGCAGGTCGAGCTCCCCCTCTGCTCCACTTTGGTGAGCCCCCCCCCTGCAGTACTACCTTCAGCTCTGTGGCCCCCAGCACAAGAAGGCCATGGATCTGTTGGAATGAATCCAGAGGAGGGCCATGAAGATGGTCAGAGGGCTGGAGCATGTCTCCTATGAGGACAGGCTGAGAGAGTTGGGGTTGTTCAGCATGGAGAAGACAAGGCTCGCAGCCTTCCAGTACCTAAAGGGGCCTACAAGAAAGCAGGGGAGGGACTTTTTACAAGGGCAGGGAGTGACAGGACAAGGGGCAATGGCCTGAAACTGGAAGAGGGAAGATTTAGATTAGATAGTAGGGAGAAATTCTTCACTGTGAGGGTGATGAGGCACTGCAAGAGGTTGCCCAGAGAAGTTGTGGATGCCCCTTCCCTGGAAGTGGTCAAGGCCAGGGTGTTTGGGGCTTTGAGCAACCTGGTGTAGTGGAAGCTGTCCCTGCCCATGGGACAGGGACAGGATCACCAAGAGGTGATCTTTAAGGTCCCTTCCAACCCAAACCATTCAATGAGTCTATGATTCTAAAAGAGTTCCTTAGAAAGGAAGGGAGATTCTGAGAAAGGGGAATATGGACAGGAAAAGATAGAACAGGGGGTTTGAAAAAGGCCAAGAGAGAGACTGAATTTTTAAGCACAAATATAAGGATAACAAGGATGGAATGGATGGGACTAGAAGAGGGATGAGGGAAACAATAGAGAAGCAGATGGGTAGAGATGGAAGGATTCATGGGAAAGTAACAAAGGAGGAGAGAGGGTGAAAATGAGATAATGGTAATGGAAAATACAGTGGAATACAATATGGAGTGAGAAAGGAAAAAGTCCAGTCACAAGTAAGTCAAAAGTAAAGACATGTTTACAGTCACCATATATTATTTGCCTTATTCCTAATTGTAATTGCCTTAGACAGGAAAAAGGTGGAAAGGAGTGCAGGAATGACTGCTTTCAGTCCTACAAGGGGAAAATACAAAATACCCTTGGAGTATCTTTTGTGTAATGGTAAGGACAGAAAGACTTTCTTGACAGGTGAGATTAAATACATTCAGTTTCCCAGTCCATTCACTTTTGTGCACACTGCATGTAGGATTACACCCTTACAGAACACTTAGTGCAGACTACTGAAAAGCAATTATCTCTGCGGAGCTCCCAAGATGCTGCTGAGAGATGTCCATTATAAAATATTTTTCCATACTGAGAGAAGTGCTATATATCTTCCCGAGCCCGCACAACCCTTAGAGACACCTCCTAAACCAATCTCTTAACTATCATCACTTTTTATAGTTTAGGGATAAGCACAGAACATTTTATTTCAAGCCTGAGAAGAATCATTACAATAATTTTAAGGGTAGTGATTCTTTTCAGTAAGACCAGTGATTCTAAGAAACAACGATTATTTATATTTTTCTCTCTCTGTCAAGTTAAATTGTACTGAAATTCTTAAAACACTCTTGTCGACTTGAGGAATAGTCTTTCTCTCTTAGGCTTTACAGATTTGTTCAACTAATGGTAAACTAATACCTAGCTTTTTATATTAAGGATGCTGCTGCTTATATAAATGATGAAAATCATGTATTATCTCATACCACATTATAGGTTTTTTTTGAAGATCAGATATCAAGGGAAACCCTGCCACTACAGACACAGCAAGGAGAGTATCTCAGTCATCTAATATGATTGAGTTAGATGAAAACTGACCTCATGTTGCTCAGTAGGATATTCTGATACATATTAAGAGCCACTAGCAAATAAGGAAAAAAAAAAAAGAACAAAAGGCCTTCTTAGTTAAAAAAAACAAACAAACAAGCAGCAACTTGTAGTCAATTATTCTTTCTTCACATTAGAAATATCCACATATATACCCAAGCAGATGCCAAAAGCAGCAGAGACAACCTCAGTCTTGGCCAAGAACCAAGGATTTTTGACACCAGAAAGCAATTTACTGACTTAAAACTAATAGAGTTCACAAAGTAAAGTGAAATAAATTGATTCAATAATTAGTATTTTTTTATTGCAATTCAGGCAGAATTTGGTGGATGTTTTTAGCTATTCAGGCCAGGGATGGGTGGAAGGCAACATCCTCAGCTAGTTTGATCAATAAAAATATTATGCTTCTGGTTGTTTCCAGTTTGAAGAATAAATAAGACTCTGGAAACCTCTCAAAACTGAACAGTGCCCCCAGCAAGAAGGAATTTTCAGATGGACCCTTTCTGTTTCTGAAAGAAAAGAACAGTTCATCTCTATAATGGCAAAATATGTAAAGAAATTCTAGAAATCAAAGCCAACAAAGCATGGCATGGTTTGGAGGCATTTTCTTGGTCTTTGTTTCAATAGAAAGCTTTATCTTAATTAAAATAAGTACTCAGCATAAGATTTTAAAGTAAGTAGCATCCAGTTTAAGAAACCTATAAAGCTGAGGTTTGAAATGTCCCATAAAAATAGGATTTGGATTTTTTTTTGCCTTACAACAAGGATGTTCATCCAATGGCAACAGATTGGATTCAGTACAAGCACACCGGGCACGTCTCAGAGCTGAACTAATTACCCTGGCAGCCTGCAATTGAAATTACTTCTCATGAGCCTCCTGCAGTCTCCTCTTTATCACACAAGAAGCGCATACATCCTGTGACCATTGTAACAGGACACAGGCATTTTACTGACGTGACGGCAAAGCAGAGTCTGGCTTTCTTTGAAACTGAAAAGGAGCAAAGACTGACTGCTCCAAGTACAGAGGATGAGCACCTCAAATCGGATGGTGATACATGGGCAGAAGGGGGGTGAGGAGGGACAGCACAGTCACATAGTGAAGAACAACATACAGTCCTTGAATGTCTCCTCAGGAAAAAATGTAAATCATCACTGCCTTAAAATACTGTTTTATGGCTTTTATGGGTCCTTATAGCTTGGAGGCTTTTTCTAATACTTGGTTTAACTTGTCAAAATATCTGCCAGATAAGCGTTACTAACAGAAGTTGTATAACCTTTTTTTCCTAGGAATTTCTCTTCCTCTGTAATTATACACAGACTTCAGAAATAGTGATTTTTTCGAGACACTTAAAGGAAGTACAGTCAACCAGATTACTTGATTGCATGAGCATTCCTAAAACTCTCATTTTAAACCCAAAAGGTTCTTACCATTATGAAATATCTTTTATGGCAACATGCCTTTCTGGGAACTTAGAGAAGTTGTGGCTTTTTATTTATTTTTAAAAAAACTAAAGGAGCAATCAGGTTGCTTATACAGTGTCTTGAATAAAACCTGTATGAAGGTACAAATAATTATCTAAAACATTAGTGTAAACAAGTACATCATTCTGTTTGTCTTTGCAGTCCTAAATATACCCAAATCCTTTGAAATCATCACTGTAGCAATGTCACATACATTGTTTTATTAAAATAACATTATTTTACATATAGAAACCTTTTAATGAAAATGAGACTGCTAGCTGTTGAGCCACATTAATTTTTTCATACTTAATGCTGAGTTCAGAAATAATAAAACTTACTACAAGTTCATACTTGGTGGTGCACAGAAACTGTTATAAAATGTCCTTGAAGGTTCTTCCTTCTAGGACCATATTGCTCTTTTATACAAGAAACAGTTGATAGAAGCATGAACTGGAGATAGAAACAAAAGATAAAATAGTCATATCTGAAATAAAACAAGTTTGGTGACAACATACCCTTCTCTGACTAAAAATATGCACTCAGTTTTCATTGTCCGAGGCAGCTCAGTACTTCATCAAGGCTACTTAATAATGATATATTCCTGTGAGAAAAACATTTAAAAGTAGTAGGTTGGGATTTCCCTAATAATAGCAGAAAGTAAAATGAGTTTAAAAGGCTAAAGTAATTAAAAGGATGCAGAGCTCAGGGATTTGAGATTTTTATAGTTAGTACTCTTCATGCATTCTGACATAAGAAATGTTCATTGGGGTGAAGCTTGGACAGGTTTCCACTTAAAATCATTCTCACAAGCAATGGCTCTTCTGAGTTGAGTTCTCCCAGCACAGCCTAATGACACTGACTGGAACAGGACTTTGACTGTGAGCCCAGAGACTAGACCAGTTCCCTCCAAACTGACCTGAGATATGTAGGTAGCCAGGAAAAAGTATTAAAAATTCTGCCTACAGAGAAGGTGAAATGCTGCCTTCATAGTTCTTTACAAAGAAAGTATCACTTTTCTGTATATGAGAAAATGTTACCTTAGATATGTTACCTATTATAGGACATGATTAAAAAAAAAAGGGGGAAATTACAACATCTTCTCATATATGTATGACTTCCCTTAAACTTCTGTCATCATGAAATGCATCTGCTTCATTCAGCAAAACCAATACAAAAGGGAAACAAAATTTTCCAACAGCATGAAAATGTTTATAAAACATTCGTCCAGATCTTCATTATTGCTTTACAGTAGCAACCATGTTGTATTTGCTCAGGCAGTACTTCTTGAACAGCCACTATGCCTTCAGCTGGAGCTCGGGCCCATTGACTGCGTAGGGAGTGTCAGATCTGGGCCCATAGAAATTACGTCTGTAGCTTTTGTTATTCTCAAGCAACAGGCCATCAATGAGAGGGAAGATGCAGCATTTGTAGAATAACAGCAGGCATGAAGAATGACTTTGTTTCTCTTTGCTTTATGTAGGAAACAATGATGGATCATGCGCTGCGCACAATCTCATACATTGCGGATATTGGTAACATTGTGGTTTTAATGGCGCGACGCCGCATGCCAAGATCAGCGTCTCAAGACTGTATTGAAACAACACCTGGTGGCCAGGAAGGAAAGAAGCAGTACAAAATGATATGCCATGTCTTTGAATCAGAGGATGTAAGTAAATGGAATTACATTTATTTAAACAACATATGTCATTTAGAGAATCTCTGACATTGCATCTAATTTCTTGAATGAATTTTGTTGTCAGTAATCTTTTCTGATTGAAGCTACAGGTAATCTGTGGAATCATTAGTCAGTTGTTTGTCCATATTCACATCTCTTTTCTGTCTCCACAAATTCATGTTGCAAATTCACGTTTCCTCCTCAGTCCCAAAATATCCACTCTTTGTCTCATGTTACAGAATCATTTGTGTTCTTTCAACAATGCTTCCCCAAATGCTTTTTTAGTACATAACTATTTGGAGTTGTCTGGAAGTTGATGGCCATTCATGGCCAAAATTAATTTATGGGGTATCAAACTGATCATTCATCACGGATTGTATCCTTTAATCCAGTGGGTTGGCACATAATGATACACATATGCCTCCAGACACTTGGTAATGAAGTGGAAACCATTCTGGACCTCTTTCAAACTGAAGGCAAGTTGCTGAGAGTATCTACCAATTTGGCGGGCCTGGCACAAGGTTGCCCTCTACCCAGTCCTTAATCTTTTATGGCTTACTTACCTGTAGTCGGTGTAAGTACTCTCAGACATGCAACTTGATCCTTAAGAACACATTCAGCTGTTTATTTTTCAGTTCTCAAAAAGATTTTTTATATAAATGCAATAGAGCTAAGAAAGTTTAGTTCTCTATATTTATAGAAATTTTTCTTCATGGCCAGAAGAGTTTAGCAATTCTTAAGTAAAAGGCTGGGAAGAACTCACTCTCACTACTCTCTCAGAACATCTGTACAGAAGACCACTTCAGAAAAGATGTTTTAAAATATGAAGGAACAATTTGTGACTAGCTAGGTTAATTATGTCCTTGATTTTCTAAAATAATTTTCCAGTCAAGCACATTGGTGCTTTTGTGTACCGCAGCACAAGTGAAATAAGAAAAACACCTTTTAGCATCAAAGAAAATGCAGTGTATCTGATTGGTAGATTGCAAGAAGATTTAGATTTACAATGTCGTCCAGAAAACGCTATTCATTCATAATGCATTTAGCGTGTACCTACTGTCTAAGTGTGTTGCAGTTCCAGAATAGTTTTATAGGCTTGATTAAGTAATTTTAGGGAGTTACATTGTAAGATGGAATTAACTTCTCAGATCATTGGGAATTACTCATATCCCCTGACGACAGAATACAGTACCTGAAAACCACAAATATATGAAACTTAATGTGGCATTCTCCTGTGAGCTGCAGTAAACTCAGAATAGGAAAATTAAAAAAAAAAATCGAATGGAGAAGTGGCCTACAAATTCCTTTTACTTAGTTCTGCCTACGTTTTTCTGTGTTCCAGTGCCATCTAGTGGAACAAGAAAGTAACTTTTATGGCAGTTCAGTAATTCTTTAATTAATTGACTTTTGCAGTGTGCTGAATTGGCAAACTTGTTAGTATCATCCTCATCATCGTTATTGGTTTCTGTAGATTTCTTTCTAATGTATATATATTTCTGACACATCCAAATACCAGTCACTGTAGTTTTTAATTAATTGTGCTCACCATACAGCCCACTGTAATGGGAAGTCATCTTTTATTGTAGTAAAATGCATGTGCAGACAAGTGTTCCAAAAATTCATAAAGACACAGGGGTTCTGAAGAGTTGTTCTTAACATTAACAAGCTGTAATCATGGCTCTGGCTGCACTCCTGAAAGCATCCCTAATATTGCTGGTCAAGGTGTTAATGGGAATAGCTATTGTAGATGGGCAATGGGTAAGTAGGGCTCTTACTGGTTTGCCGGGAATATGAGACAAGTACGATGGCAGTAATAGGAGAGCAGATGGTTTTGTTGAAGCAGTGTTTTCAGTCCTACAAAACCAAGGTGGAGAACCAGCAGGTGATATGACAACTGAAATCATCAGTGCATCCATGTCTGTGAAGGCGTGTGCAAGCAGAGCATCCGTTCTCTCATCACTCCTGCAAATATACTGTGATCAGAAGCAGGATTTGTGACAGTCTTTTCTGTAAGCTCTGTTCCATATTGGTACAAAGCCAGTACTCTCCAGTGTTTATTGGAATGAGTACATAAAATAGCATATGGCTGCTCGCTACTGCAACGTACTGATGAAAGGAGATCAGCAGGGTTTTTAAATGGAGTTTGCAATTTGATTGGGGATTTAATGGATTCTTTCTGTACAACTGACCTTAAAGTGACTTTATATCCATACTAACGTAGCAACTTTGCAGGATCCTTTATTTTGATTCTGTCTTAAAATCCAATCTCTCTCTCGTTTCCTATGGTTTCAGTGGTAAACTGTATCGGTCCTTTCTCTAAGCTGTGTTTTGTTCTACATTCTAGGCACAGCTGATAGCTCAGTCAATTGGTCAGGCTTTCAGTGTGGCTTATCAAGAGTTTTTAAGAGCCAACGGAATTAACCCAGAGGATCTCAGTCAGAAAGAATACAGTGACATCATCAATACCCAAGAGATGTACAATGATGATCTCATACACTTTTCCAATTCAGAAAACTGCAAAGAGGTAAACTAGTTTTGGAATTTCATTTCAGATTGATCCATTTTTTTAGAGGAATGTAGTTCTCATCAAAATATGTTTTGGCATTTTAAGGATGACTTTAGATCTCAAGATGCTTCATCAATACCGTGCTACTAAAATCAGCTTTATAAGTTTTTAGAATTTCTTCTTTTTATTCTGAGGGTCTTTCTGCTTCCATTGATTAAAACAGTAATAAAGTACACTTACATCTAACATAGATAAGCTCTGGGCTATTCACAGCACACAGCGTAAGGTGTTTTTATGTTTTACCATTGTATTGATACAGAAAGAGAAATGGCAATCCATTTTAATGCATGTTGTAAGTGATTTCTTACTTAATAGATACAAGAACCATGAGTCCAGGATGCTGTGCCACTGAGCAGGCCAATTTCTCTTCCCCTATTAGAACACCAGCAAAACTGCCACGTGAAATGGAGTTTCACACTCATAATGCATGAAAAGGCAAGATTTTCCCTTAAGTGCCCCAAATTACATAAGTGTAACTATTTACATTTGATTTTGGATGTAATGGATTCTTTCTCTACAACAGCCATATATTTTGCATTTTACATTTCATACAAAAGTCACTGTAACACTGGACATTCCGAACCAGAATGTGGCAAGTGCAGTTGCACCCAGATTCTGCTTTGTCTTACATTGCTGCAGTGTGATAGGGATTTGGCCCATGTTCCAAATATCAGAGTTTCTATGCTGAGTCCTAAAGCAATCTTACTTTGAGATGAACTGCAAATTGCTTAATCCTTCAGTCACATCTTTCCTAGTTACACTCATTTCTTCTAGCATTACAGGTTCTTTTGTACAGCATGTGTGTTCTTGGGAAAAGAGCATTTTTCACCTATACCTAAAGACAGAAGGGTCATGATTTGATGTGTAGTTTTATATGTCTGCAGTCACTAGATATCAATAAAATGTTTTCATGTGCATATAAGCATGACAATATATTTCTCTTATAGCAAACAAGGGAAAATTCAGTTGAACAAATCTTAGTTTAACTTAGAATTGGAACAGGAAAATACAAATGTGTCATGTTTCAAAGTGATTAAAAAGGTTACTATTTTTGTGGCACTTTTGTTTCTAATTGGTTTATGAACGTTTGAACAACGACAGAGTTGTGGCATACTGTTTGGTAGCTAGCTTCAAAAAAGTCAGCTGGCCTTCATGATTCCTATAAGTATGGATGTCCCTGTCCTTCCAGCATTTGAAAGAAAATAATTTCCAGTACTATGATTAAGAGTATGTTCGCTACTTAAAACTCTTACCCCTCCTCTGTAAAAGTTAGATTGCTACAATTACTGAACAGTTAACATCACCATATTTGAGGGATCTTAGATTAACATGCTAGCCCCAAGTATATTCAGTAATGTTAATAATAACAACAACAACAATAATAATCAAGAGATCCTTGCCTGAAAATAAGGACAGACAAACCCTGAGATCAAGAGACAACCTGAACAGTGATGGCAGAAGTGGAGCTGAACTCAAGGCTGTGTTCCAGACATTGCTGTAGCCACAAAGTGTTAAAGCCTTCCCTAGCTGCCAGGTTCAAAGAAGGATAAAAAGTTCTTTGGCATTCATTCATGTGGTATTCAGTTCCACTACTTTCTATAGAGTTAACCAATGTGTTAGTTTTTTGCTTATAATAAGTATCTATTTGACCTTCAGCAAACAAGTGGAGGATACCCCTGAAAAGAAATAGGTATGTGTTACACAGTTTTAACAGCGTTTTTGAAGTCATGCTACTACCTAATGGCAAAGAATAGAATTCTTTTTGTAATTTGTAGGTGTTATTCAGGAACAACTGAGATGCTAGTGCTCAAATTTAGATGAATCAAACCAAAAACCTTTTTTTTTTCTTTTTAATTGCAGCTCCAGCTAGAAAAACAGAAGGGAGAAATTCTTGGGGTAGTGATTGTGGAATCTGGATGGGGATCCATTCTACCCACTGTTATCCTGGCTAACATGATGAACGGAGGCCCTGCAGCCCGTTCAGGAAAACTAAGCATTGGAGACCAAATTATGTCCATTAATGGGACCAGTTTAGTTGGTCTACCTCTTGCAACATGCCAAGGGATCATAAAGGTACCCCAAACTTACAACTATATGCTGTAGATTGTAAGCCAGCAGAGATGTAATATTCTGACAAGCAACCCTGTAGATTTCCAGCAGATACAATTTTTCATATCACTGCAAAAAAAAAAAAAGTAATCTGTCATTAACAAAAAGTAGAAACAGAGATTCAGGGGTGATAATGTACAGAAATTAGGCTAGTGAATTTGACTGCAGCTTTGTCACTGGACTATAGCAAATGAGGCCAGGTCTGAAAAACTTGCCTAAATTAAGTTACTTGGCTATTTTCAAAGTTTCAGGCTTCCCCGCAGCCTCCAAATTAAAATCTGAGGATTAAAATCTACTGTGCTTCTTTGGGGTCCATGTAGATGAAATGGATGGAGGCTGGTAGACTGCAGGACAGATCAAGTGAGTATATGGAGATTCCCCAGACATGATGGAATCTCAGAATGCATTTTCTTTAATCACTGAGACTAAATCTAATGTCTGTGCGGATTTACCAAGAGCAGCAGCAGCAGGAGATTAATTAGCCAGATGCTGGTAAAGGGCAAGCAGTAGTCAGTTTTGGTTTTTCTTGAAAACTTTCTTGAAATTTCTGTGCTAATTAAAAGCCAAGTTTTGATATGTTTTGTTGGGCCAAATAGCTTAGGAAATAAATGAAACGGAGAAATGTATCTTTTAAGTTAACAACAGATTTCTACTAACTCTAGCTGTTCTTTCTCAGCTGTTCTCAGCTGTTCTAGCTGTTCTTTGTCAGATCAGCTGCTTTATACTCTTGCAGTTAGGAAAGGACTAATGATCCATGGCAGAAATACTAACTTCTAGAATATCTTACAGGGTCTCAAGAATCAGACGCAAGTCAAACTGAACATTGTCAGCTGTCCTCCTGTTACTACTGTCCTCATAAAACGGCCAGACTTAAAATACCAGCTGGGCTTCAGTGTACAGAATGGAATTGTAAGTTTCTGTGTTCAGGGATTGTTTTGGTTTTGTGGTTTTTTTTTTTTTTTTTCCTTTCTTTCAAGAAACACACTGAAGTACTGAAAAAATCATTGCACCTGACCTCATTTTTTGTGATCCCTTAATTAAAACCTTATAATCACATCTCTGACTAACATAATGCAAATAGACACCACCAGGAGAACAAGTACTACCATTCTTGAGGGATTTTCCTACATAATCCAGCCACAAGATTTATAGTCCATATTGTTTGGTGCAGTATCTGGATCAGCTAATTCATGTATAACTGTCCTTTAGTGTGCCAGAGCTGCAAAGGAAACAGTTATGCTGAAACAGGTTTTTACAATTATAACATTCTAATCTTAACTCTGATCCTGTTTCTCTTTTTTAAATTTCAGCACACACTCACTAAGACTTTTTTCTTCTGCTGTGCATAATTTATTTGAATCACATGGTAGTGAGAAAGGGAATGTAATTGTGACCTCCTCTGGTTAAAACTAAACACCTCTCACTACAAGTAATTGTATAGGTTGTGTCCCAGGTATCCCTTCTCTCCATGCTGCAGTTTCCCTGTAATAACAGCAGCAAACAGAAGAACGAATGGGGCAGGTAACACTTACCCAGTGCAGCTCAGGGTCCTCCTCTTGTACTTCTTTCTTCCCAAGCCATTTTCCAATACCTTTCCAAAGCAAACTCCCAACACAACTAGCTCAGGTAGTCACCTGGCCTTTCTGGGGGCTGATACTAGCATTAGGGACTGTCTGTAGTGCAGGACCATCACCATCTCCTCTTCCTCCAGTCTAGGAAAAAAATAATCAGGCTGCTCACACAGAAAACCACATCACAAAGGACTGTGGGCTCTGGTCCCCTGTTCTGTGAAACTCATCGACTGAAGTTGCCAGATTTCTGTTTGCCACCCTTGGAAGAGTAGCAGGTAACACTATAGGATATGGTTTATGGGTCTTGCTGTGCTTTAGCAAACAGATGGCTCATGAGTGAATTTTCAGCTCTGCTAGCCATCTCTAAGTTACTACTGTAGCTAAGCGTTAAGTGTTCCTACCCAAGATCATGTATCATGTTGTGGTCACAGCAGAGATTGCTATAAAAAACACTACTACAAGCCTTGGTCCAGCTGGAAGCACTCTGAAGGGATACCTACCCCAGGTTGACATCCTTTAGAAGCAGACACGTAAAGTATTTGTCATGTTTGGGATTAATGCTCTGACACTTGAGTAGAGGGAGGTCTGTAAAAAAATACAGAAAAATCAGGTGTGTGCTATATTTCTGTCCTCCTCTGCCTGTGCTTAATGCCCTTTCATCTACATGTATGTATATGTTAAGTGGGTATGGTTATTGCTGGTAGTTCACTCTGTGTTAGCAAATCCCAAGTCTCGGTATAAAAAGAATGAAAGAGTTGGGATTTGGTTTTACAAGATCTCAGAGAGGGTGCCAAGAACAGCATATAATACTCTATGAGGCACTGATTTGTTTCCTAATTGCTATCCTTTGTAAATCTAGTACGTTCAGCTGGTGCTATGATAAAAAGAAGGAAATAAGTAACAATGAGCAATACTGTGGTGTGTTTATCAACTCTTTTGGGAGGCCTGTCACAGCATTGGTGGGGGTTGGACCAGGGCTGGGGAAAAGAATCAGGCCAAGGTGGTTTAGAGGCATATTGTGTCCTCACATGGACAAAGGCAGTTGCGGAGTTTGTGAGACAATGTATTCATCTTGTCCCAGCGAATCATCTACGTAATTGGAGCCTTAGGTCAGTAAATTTTGCAGACTGTGGTTTTCTTTCATAGCGTGCTCACTCCACCTGCTGGTCATTTGTCACAGTCGCCGAACTGGATGGTCAGTCATTCCATTTCAATGAGCAACATTTAGATGACATCCCGTTTAAAGTTTACCAAATTCAGCATAAAAATCTCAGATAATGAAAAAAAGAAAGCCTCATAACGCATTTCACTTCTGAAGATCTGTGTTTGGATATGAAAGCCAATGAACTAAAAGGAGAGATTCACATCCTTTGTTAGGCTGCTATATAGACAAGCTTCTGGGCCTGTAAGTCCTTCCTCAGATAACCTCTCTCTTACTTCACTTAACATTTGAAAATATGACTCCGCAGAGTATGTCTCTCTGGTAGTTTGACACTGAACTTGTAAAAAGCAGTTTTGTAATTGCCAGCAATTGTTACAAATTATGACAGGATTCAGAAGTAATATTTTTTGCTGGCTCAGCGTTAGCAGAGTGAAGACGCAAATGGCTTGCTAGAACGGGTGTAATTAAATGTCTCCTACTGCTCTGCCACTACCTCATTATGCCTTATGCGTGCAGCTGGTACTTACTTCTGTGCCTCTTCTGACAGCAGTTTTGCAGTGGCTCCTTTTCACCCCCCCTATCTCATCTGTGCAGGGTGTACAGCTGTTATATTAGTGAATAGCCCATAAACAACCTGGACATACAAAAGTACTATCTGAGCTGGGTTTTGCTTACATAGGGTATCAGGAAGATGCAGAGACTGGGCTACTGCAGGTGACTTTTCTTTGTGTATTCTGTATAGTTTGATTAACGTAAAGCCTGAAGTTGTGCTTCATGGAGCACTAGTAGTGCCAGCTTTTGGAAGTTTTAGTTAGGGAACAGCACAACAGCACAAATCAGTGTTAATTTTGCAGAATCCCTCTTGCACTAATGATACAAGTAGTCTTCATGGCTCTTGAAAGCTACTGATGTAGTTCCATTGCATATTTATAAAAGGAATCTAAAATTTCAATTGTAAAACATTAAGAAAAAATATTTTGCATACATAAGAAACAAGTATGAATATTGTGTGATGGGGAGGTGAACATAAGGTCACCTATCAGCCACCTTCTGAAAATCATTATGTCATACTTCTTTTAAAATTATGATATTTAAGTACAAGTGGTCTTCTCATATCACACCATTATCTTGTTTCCTAGATTATGAAAAATCTGTGTATTACCAGTTGTATTTTTACTGCTGATAATGTACCACTTCTCAGTCTAGATCTCAGAGCTGAGACATTTTCTCTGAGAAGTGTATCTACCCCATCCCTCGCCTAGCACAATGCTATCTAAAAATACAGTAAAACTAGGCAAAACTTAACAGTACGGACAGTTTATTCTTTCTTCCTTGACTTTGTTTATACTTCTTTAAACTGTCTGGGGAAAAAATTTACAGGGTTTAAACAGAATAATATAGAAGTGAGACAAGGAGAAACGTGGTTTCATAGGTTACATTTAAGGCCTTTACACAGAATAAACAGTTAGTTTGCCTTGCACTTTTCTATTCTTGATGTTTTGCTACACAATCAGCAGTTGCAGTAAAACTGATTGTGAAGCTACTGAAGTTTCACACATTTGATGCACTGCAACTTGCCTAAGACATTGCAGGATCAGTAACAGCTGAATGGATTGAACCAGTATGGTTTACACCTTCTTTTTTTTCTTCAGTTTACACAGTAAATAGAGTATAGGCTCTTGCTTACAAGAAGATCCAGATCCATCATGCTTTATTTAATATTACAGCTGTCAGGATGTTAAACAAATATAGCAGGCTAAACAATCCTGGCTGAATAGAATCGTATTTAGCTAGTGGTACTGCTCAGCTTAAACTTGCCAGCCTAATCTGCCATAGCTCCACTGGCTGGAGACAAAAGTCTTAAGGCTGCTTTGAATGGGCCACTTGCAAATACAGGAGCCACATAAATGTGTGCTTTAAGTACAGTATATTTCTTTACATCTGCACTCTGTCTCCAGCTTAACAGGATCTGTGAGGCTACACAGAGCCACTTGGGCTCTGTGTCTGTTTCTCTTTCTACCTCATTAAAATAGTTAATGCTCACAAAAAGGAAGCTGACTCCTTTCCCTGGAGAGGGATCACATTCTTGAATGAAGAGACGGGACCGCTTTCTGTGTCTGAGGCTGTTAGAAAGAAGAAATTCACTGGTAGTATTAAAAGTGCTTTGAGAGGCACATAATGAAAGGTGCTCTGGATAGATACGCAAGCCGTTCTCTTTTCCTTTATGCCAGCGGGGTGAGAGGTCACATTTCCGTTTGCTCTGAAACCTTTTATTTCAGCTGGCTGTACTGTCTCTATATTTTCTTTTATATTGTGAAAAATATATTCACAAGGGTTTTTTTGGCACATTCTGCTTTTTGTCCTTTCAGATTACCGCATATAATCCCCAACAGCAAGGAACAAACTGTTATTCTAACAGTGAGTTGAACTGAGCAGCTTTCTGTAAAAGAGGTGTGTAGTACAGCTTATCTTGTCAGCTCTATGATGAGAAGGTGGACTCCCTGCAAAACAATATATTGTATGTGACTGAATTTCAAGGCGTAATTCTGTGAAGGGTCCTGATGGTGCCTCTATTCATAAAAGTCCATCAGAAGTACTTGATGAACCATAGTAGGTAAAACTCGGCCACTAATGATAGTGTGGTGGAAGAGAAGTCTTCCTGCAGGAGAAAGTTTTTTTTCAGAAGGCTGAGAAAGGCCTCTTACAAACAAAGAATAACTATGTATTTTCACTGCCCGTTATCAGACAACTTGAACTTTGAGTAAAAAGGGATTTCATTTTTTATGGCATTGTTATTTGTGAAGAGGAATTTAAAGGAAACTGGTACTGTCATACAGAAAAGATTCTGGTCAACCACAGACAACATTTCACCTTCAATATATTCCTGTTTGGCCATCGCCCCGCTTACTATGTTTCTGAATTAGATTACAAACTCACTGGGACACAAACCACATCTTAATATACTTGTATTTAGTTCTTGAGCAAATTATTAGATCTCAGCAAATAATAATTCTTAGCATATGATTCTGACCGTTGACAGTAACTGCAGAAACACCTATCACTGGATGCTCTAGCACTCATTTCTTTTCCTCCAAGAACAGTGTTTTCTCACTAAACAAAAGGTAAATCTCAGCACTGCTAAGCTCTGCTCAGTTCCAGAGATTCAAGTTATACATTACCTGCCTTATGTGCTGCATGACCTTAGTCTTCGGAAGTAATAAACCAACAATTTCTATTTAATATACAGCTGTCTAGTCTGTCAGAGAAGGCCCTTTCACAGCACAGATAGCATTGCTGAGCAGGAAAAACTCTCTTAAATTCCCCATACTGGATTGAGAATTTTCTTTCTGCCTGTACACCACGCATGTTGCAACTTCAGAATAATTTTAAGTAGCAGTGTCTGCTGGGACTATGCCTGCTGAATGTAACTCTTCTTGTAGAATTATTCCACCATTGTAGGGGGCATAAAAGTCAAAACATGTGCCTAGTTCTTTACTGGTACCTGCAGCTGCTAGTTGAAACAGTGGCCTGACTTGCTGCCTTCATCCTAAGCTTCCCATGGCCAGCAGCACTGTAAAACATGGAGAAAAGCAGGGGCTCTGGAGAGCAGAGTACCCTTTTCCAGCCTGCAAAGGCACAGAAAACAAGCTGTCATACTAAAGAGAACAGCCTGTAAATGAAACAGAATTTGCGCATTTCATACACTAATAGAACAGTTTGTTTGGAAGGGACCTTAAAGATGATCTTGTTCCAACCCCCCTGCCATGGGCAGGGACTCCTGCCCCTAGACCAGTTTGCTCAAAGCCCCATCCAACCTGGCCTTGAACACTCCCAGGGATGGGGCAGGCACAGCTTCTCTGGGCAACCTGTGCCACTGCCTCACCACCTTCATCATAAAAAATTTCATTCTTATATCTTTGAGACAGATCTTTCCTTATATCCTCCTTATATCTTTGTGACCCTTTCGACAGATCGCCAGCTTTCAATACAGACTATCTGTATGGCATCATCCTTTCCTTCAGCATAAACTAGCATTTGTGCAGGGTTAAGGATGAATCTTTCTATCATTTTTTTTTTCACGTATGTGAAAAAATTGCTGTTGTAGATTAATTTTTACTGTAGCACTCTTTATATTTCCCATTATTCTAAGAGAGTAATGTGGTGGTTTGCAGGAGTCCAGGTGGCACAATCAGAAATATTTAAAAGTGACTTTCTTCTATCCTGACAGTACATAAAACTTCTCTCTTCCCCCTAACTCCACTTTTGCATGGCTGCTACCTGTATTGCTGTGTTAGGTACTTAGATGTTCCCAGCCCATGAGAAAAAAAATAAAAATTGTAATTTGCAGAAATTCTGAAAAACACAACAAACCAACATTTGAAAACTCACAGTATTGCTTAATACTTTCCACAAGTATCTTCTGGGATCCTATGGTGTCACCACTTATTATTATGTATTAAATCCTGGTAACTGCTATATTATGACATGTCGAAACTTTAATAAACTTTGGTTTCTCTTGGCAGATTTGCAGCTTGATGCGAGGTGGAATAGCTGAGAGGGGAGGGGTAAGAGTAGGACATCGTATTATTGAGATCAATGGACAAAGTGTTGTTGCTACTGCTCATGAGAAGATAGTACAAGCATTATCTAATTCAGTGGGAGAGGTAAGAAAACAATTAAATACTGTATCAAGGAATTAAAACTGTTGAAAGAATATGTTTCAGTTGAAAAGAGTGTCTTAACATAGTATTAAAATTGCCACCACCTCAAAAATCGGAGTTGAGCACTTAAACAATTAACATTTTTTGAACAATTAGGTGCACATTCACTGCATTTTTCCACTCATTTTCAAGAATTCCTAGCATGATTCTGAACCTTCAGCTTACTGTTTGAATTAAACCAATCAATTAAGGGAACAAATCACTCAAAGATGTTAGCTATGAAGATGTCTCTTGGCTTATTGCTACAGCATCTGCCATAGAAATAAATTAATATGCAAAGGGCTGAGAGGTTCAAATTGATATGTATTTTAATCATTTAGTTTCCACTGAACATTTCCAAGTTACCCGGAGAATAAGTTAAGACATCCCTCTCCAGCACTTTTAGAGAAATCAGCAATGAATGAAGAAGATCTTCCAGTTTATCAAAATCCCTACTGAATTTAGTGGTAGTATCATACACAACCCTAGCCAGACCTTCCACTAGTTCTTTGCCAAAAATCAAAGACAACTTGTTTTCCCGTGGAAAATGATACTTGAAAAATAATAGAGAGTACATGCACGTTAGCAGGAACAAAGCTGTAGATTTCAATAGACTCTCCATGCCTTTATGGTACCCCTTTGCTGCATAACATCTCACTAAACATATGAGGACAGTATGAAACTTTTTTTTTTTCAGCATGAAGAGACCAGGATATCAAGGCAGCATATGCCTGGTGAGGGTCTGTATTACCAGTTAGTAAAGTTGACCTTCCTTCCTCTTGCGTTGCCTGATAGGTACTTACAGCTGTTACTGCAGTTCTGATACAATTCTGATCACCTGATGCCTTTAATCCTGTTAGTCTGTAAAATCCCTCTGACACATCACAGTACTCTTTGTAGAAAGAGCTTAAATACGTTAGCCATGAGAGAACATGTTCCACCCATCTCTCGACTGGCATTTAAATATCAGGTGATAAAGTCCAAGTTTTGTGCTCAGATGATCATACTCCAATTAGGAGAAAATACGTATGAAATGACACTCCCCCAGGGAAGGAAGATGGAAGAAAAATACAAGTTCAGTTAATACCAGAACGGCAGAATGAATTTTCAGACAGGTTTGTGCTACTGCTTTTTTAAGGGCTGTAATTGGAGTAGGGTGTAACAATAGAAAGTGTTTAGGTGCCTTTTAAGCTATATGATGTTGCATCCTGTCATTGTGATTTTAAAAAAAAATAAATAAAAGGCACGCAAAGAAAGCAAAGACAGCAAGCCAGCTTGTTAGAGCCCGAGAACTTTGAACTAGCAACTTTGGTAACATTCACATCTATAGAAACCAGGACAATAAATGCACTTACACCACAGGGAGAGACAGATTGGGCCTTATGGATTATTTTAAACTAGTAACAATTCTGTTAATTTCTGTGTAAATCAATTCACAGATTCACATGAAGACTATGCCAGCTGCCATGTTCAGGCTTCTGACTGGGCAAGAGACACCCCTATACATCTAGCATGCGACTCTCTTGCAGCAAGCTAACTAAATGATTCCATCAAAGCTGAAGCCCTCATAGCTGAAGAGAATTTTGTATTTTGTATGAATGAAAGGCTGTGAAGCTGACCTGAGGACTCCAAAACAAGGAACAGACAGGTGTCTCTGCCTTTTCTCTCCTTCCTTTTTATTTCTTTGTCAAGAAGCGATGAGAAGGATGGTCAAGGACAATAATCATTGACAAAAATCTTTGTAAAACATTTAAGTATTTTGCAACATCTTCTAAACTCTTTTCTCATAAAATTTAAAACATATTTATTTGTAACCTTTATGTGGAGTGATGTATGTATGTCTGTCTTGTTTGATAACACGGTGAATGTGAATATTTGCTGAATGAGACTATAGGAAATGGCAAAGACAAGCTATTAGAGAAAGTTATGGCTGCCTCAAGTTAAAAAAAAAAAATAATTCCAGTCCCATAAAGTGGTCCAATACTGATAGCTTTGCATAATTTTAAGATTGGTGCCGAATAGATGGTATTTCAGCAGAAAGGAATGTGTGCAGTTAAAACTTTTAGATTCTAATGTAAAGAAAACCACTGTAGTACTTGGTATTGTTATGACAAACGTAACCTGTTTGGCAAGGTGTGAACATAAACATGTAACAAGTGTTTCATATGCTAAATAAAGAATAATTGCCACAAGATTAAAATCAAAATATTTATTTAGATACATATTTATTTTTAATGCTTGTGATTTTTATGATTTAACAGTTATTTCATGGATAACTTATTGCACAGGTTGTGTAATGTATGTGTTGGGCTGGGGGGGGTTTCTTTAATTTTTGCATCTTACCTTTTTGTTTATATTAGCTCAAAATGGGAAAGCCATGCTTACCTGTTTCTGTCTTTTATAAAGCGTTCTTATTCCTAAGGCAATGTGTTCTGAATGTAAATGGTTTTGACAAATAACCTAGCACCATCAGCAGTATTAGAATGTGTGTAGATAAAAAAACCTAATAGTAAAGTTGTATTCCTTATGAGATAAATGTTAATTGGTGTAACTTTTCGTCTAGTTTTTTTTTTTTTTTGGCCAAGGCCTTGAAGAAAATACACTGTGACTTAAGAAGCCTTACCATGCAGTAACTAAAGAGCTTTAGATGACTGTACTTCAAGGAGTAGTGTGTTGCATGCAACTGACCTTAGGAAAGAATTAACCTACTATCACTAATAAATCTGAAATAATAAAGGAAGCTTGCTTATTTTGTTTGTTGTGTAAGTTTAAATAATAAAAAAATCCAAGTAGAAGGTCATTTAATTCTTCATCTAAGTGCAGTTGCAAAGGTCACAGATTATTTTTTAAAAAGGAATTCATCTCTTGAATTAGGAATCTGTGTATGCTTTGTTATCTTGAGAGTAGATGCTTTCAATTAGCATATCTTGTTGCCACTGGATGTCACTGTAACTTCACATCGATACAGAAGCATGGTATAAATTAAAATACATTAAAATGGATGATTCTGTAAAACTTAAACTTACTCATCTTCAGCTACATTCCTTTGTGACCTTTTCACAGGATGTCTGCCCAGCTCAGAGTGACACAAATGAAACCAGTATATGATTAAACCTCAAATGGAAACTAATGCTACCGACAAGCACTACTGCAAAAAAATTAAAACCCTGAAACGTCAACCTGTGGTAGGTTCTTTATGAGAACCTTTTGCTTAAGGCCTTTCCAGTTTCCTCTGAGAGAGCCAGGATGAAGCTTGCACTGGAAGACGTTGCTGGCAGACCTGTGTTTATGCTGGTAATCAAATTAGTGTCAATGATATTTACTTTTTGATTATTATTTTTTTAAAGATCGATGTAAAATAATCATAAATGCAGCAGAACCACAAGGACATGTTTTAGTAATACAATTCTCAAAACCACTAATTGGAGTAACAATTCTTTTTGAAAAAATGTTCAAGGCTCTGCTGGATAAAAATTCATCTAACTTCCTATCAGTTAGTGTTTGTAAAAAGTCTGTGGAATATGCTTTTTAGAAATGCAGAATTTCAAGGACTTCTTCCCTAGTGCATCTTTTGGTCACAATTCGCAGAGTACTTAAACGTCAGTTTTTCATAGTGTACGCTACTCCACTAATAAACTCATGAGCATTCAGAACAAAGCAAAAATAAACCACACCGCAGCTGTTACTGTAATTTAAAAGGGCGACA